TTAATTATCACAATAATCAGGCAATCCATAAGAAAATAAAATATACATAATTTAATCAGTAATAGTAATATTGTATTAAATTATTTAATATACTTCTTAGATTTTAATATGAAAAATATTTAATACTTTTGTCATATAACAATTAGAATATCCTCCATTTTATCGTATTTTTATATTTTTTATGCATTTATCTTGATTGGAGATTTTTTTTCCTTTCAATAAGAAATTTTTTAGTTAAGAAGATTATGATAGTTAAGCATAGGAAAAATAATTAACCAAATAATTTTCTTAATGAAAAACTAAATATGATTGGTAAGATTGTCAGTTAGGATAATTATAACATATAAGTAAGAGATAATTAATTAAATAAAAATAGTTAGGATTTGCATATAAATAAACCCAATCATTAATGTGTACATAAATACTTTTTTTCCATTGTAAAATATTAAAAAATGTTTAACTTTCCTAAATTAATCTTAATTGATTAAATTTAGTGATTAATAAATTATGGATGAATTAATATTGAATTTTCAAAATATTAAAAATAAACCAAACCTTCTTAATTTGATCATACATTCATTAAATTTAATGGATGAATTAATGAATTAATCATTTAGCAAAACATTAAGAGAAGAATTGTATTGACCTTTATTAAAAAAAAAAAAAAAAACTATTCAAGGCTTTTGTTTCATAAGCTCCTAACGTCCTTTTTTAAAAAATTGAAATTGTTGAAATATTATTTTAATTTTGAAAAAAATGAAAATATCATTTGTTAATTATTCCCGTATCGGTGTAACCTAATTTAATGCCTAACAAGCACTTTATTATTATCTTATTATTTAAAATTGGTGAACTCAATGCTAAGGGTTTGAAACTTTAGAAAAAAACATAATATTATTTTTTAAAAAATAAGAGTTCATACTTTTAGAATATCATATATATTATTCATGATATATACATGGAACTTTTTCCAAGTATAGTTTTCATTTACCTTGAAAAATAATTTATTTATATTCGTTTATGATCTCTCAAAATTTTGAATAAAACTTATATATTTTCTAGACGAGTTTTATAATTTTTAAAGCTTCCAAAACATTATTTTGGCATTATGAAAAATTTAAAGAATTTTTTTCATTTATACTATATGACATGAATTTTTAAATCCCTTGAAATAATCTTGGAAGTTAGGAAAATATTATGTATGTATATCTATTTTATTTCTTTGATCTTATATTTTTCATTGGTTAAGCAATTTCGCCTTGGTTTTTTAGAATTTTTTTAGAAATTTCTCAATCATAATTATGTTTCTTATATATTCGAAAAAATTTCTTATTGTATTAAACTCTAAACACAAGTTTAGCAATTCAACCATTGACCTTTACATCTATTAAGATACCATTGGTCCACTTTAAAGTGCTTTATGTGTGGGCTCAATAAAATGATAGTAGAAGGTGTAACCTATATCATTCTGCCTTTGTTCGGATGATTGTGATTATTTCTAAGGGAAATAAAAGTTTTGATCTACACCTTAGATCCTATCATGCGAAAGATTCAACATTTGGAAGATCATCTTCAACATGATGCATGACCATATTATCTCCAGGTTTCAAAAAGCACATGCTCCTCTATTTCTGTATCATTTGTCACAATATTAGCTTCTAAATGATGAATATAGAGAGAGAAAACTCGCCCTATTAGTTTGAAGAGCATAAATAATCATGGTGTGGGAACCATGTAGATCATCATAGTAAGTATAGGCTAGAGCTTGAGTGCTATTAACTTTTCTAGTTAGTTCCTTCAACACTTACCATTGCTTTGAGGATATGAAAAGTGGTTGGAAATGAGCTGCCTCTAGTTGCTTTTCTCAAGTGAATATTATTGGAGATATTTATCCGAGTTGGGTAAGAAGGCTTTGGAAGGTTGGGAGTTGACTGGGAATCACGTACCATTACTTAGGCGACTCTTTATTCTAAATGGATAGCCCCAAAGGTGATTTGAAGCTATGATTGGTCCATTTAATCTCCCTTAAATCATGAATTAAGCTCATTAAAAATAATATTTATCACTTGATTTTTTCAAGAATTTTTTTAGTTTTATTTGCATTTTTTATATTTTTTATTGAAGTCCTTAATATATTTATATAAGAACAAAAGTTTATATGTTCAAACACTAACTCATCAATGCAGTAAGATCCCATTGGTTCACTTCAATGCGCTTTTTAATTATGTGGTATTTTTCTTATGATAATGGAAGGTGTGACCATGGTCATTTGATCTTTGATCAGTTATCATGATTATTTCTAGAATGCTAAAAGAGATGGATGTTTAAATAGGAGAAAATTTTGTGTAAAGATATCCTTATTCAATTTATAGTAAGATATGCTTCATATTCCATGAATTTATATTGAGATTAGTGATATATATGATGTCCAAGGGCTGTACTAATTTTAATGCAAATTTAAAGATTATATATGAATCTTCATCAGTATTTGTCAGGTTAATCTATTATATTATGTTATGACATATTCAACTTTATCATGACATTTAGCATGACAGACGATGATACTTTAATTTATAGTTTGATATTACATATATCTTATAAGAAGGTATAATGGGTCAAGCCCTTAGTGATTTATTAGTCGTACTTCCAATCTTCATGAATTCTTGCTTGAATAATAGTCTCCCTAATGACTAAGTCAAGACCATAGATAACCAAGATGAGATTGTAGTTGTACTTTGATGGAGTGGCATTTATGAAAGATTATGAACTATAATCTCTCTTGAGTAAAGTAACAACTGGCCTTATTTTTATTACTCTTGAAGATATCTTGTAATACACGTGCATTCTTTTAGAGGTGCATGATAATAATTAAACAAAGTATGAAATTCAAATAACTAAATAGTATTAGAATTTTAGGTTATTCCCAATTGGTGATCAATCAATATTATATATTTATAAGGTCTTTAAACATACTATGCATGTCTATCATTAACATGTTATGAAGCTATAATAATGTATTTCTATAGTTTTGATCGGAGTGTCAATTATTTAAAATGCATAATATATAAACTCACCAAATCCTCTAAAGAGTTAGCTAATCAAAATAGTGATCTAGTAACCTTAGTGGGCTATAATAGAAAAATCAAACCTTAGATAGCTAGTTCCCACTTATGAAACTATTACTATGGTATATTGTGAAGGGGTGGAGGTAACCCTTCATAGATTAATTGTTAAAGAGTAAAATCTCTCATAATCATTCTCTCGTTTATCTAATTAAGAAGAGAGTGTTGTCATTCACATGAATTAACAAAATCTTATGCAAACATTTGTTTGACCAAATACCACTAAATTATCTTCAATAAGACTAAGCTCGTGAATTCATGAGTGATGTTCATGCTAGATTGAGTGGAGTTTATTGGTCTAGTTCTAAGATGAGATATAAGAAGAAATGTTTTGGCAATTGTTTGCATTTGATCCATCATTATTATAGAGCTAGATTCATGATATGTTGCTGCATTAACCACCAAATATACTTTACCCTACTATTGCCTTCTTATTTTTTTGAGATATAGGAAAATGTTGATCATCATTCTTTGATGGGTCATAAGTTTATATTTATAGCTACCGATGTGTTAGCCATCTCTTGGAGAGAAGTTAAGGAAAGTTATGTGATATAGTTCCTTAGAGATCATATTGCCTATCAATTTAACACATCACCTCGAGTCACTTCAACTAATGACACAATGGTTAAAAACACTAAGTCAGTAAATTTATTTGTAATCATAATATTGACTAGAATTATTCTCCTATTTATTATCATTATTCTAAGGGCCTAACATACACCATTAATTAAAAAAAAAGGTCTAATTGACTAAGAAGTACTTTGTTGAAAATAAAAGATAATGACATGATAAGTTGGTTGAGAATTTGTTGGCATATCAGCCATGCATAGAACCCCTACTTAATCTATCCTATATTTATTCGTTTTAACGATAAAACTATTATAAATTTATCTTTTCAATTCCTTGAGTTTATGTTTTAGAGCAACATCTCTCTTAAATTTGAAGTCTTGTTTTGTTGTAATTACAATGTAGTTATCCTAATCACCACCAAAGTTTTAACAGGACTTTAGAAGATGCATTCCCTAAGGTGTACTAAGCATTTGCTAATTTAGAGTACAATTCCCCTTAAAGAAGTGATATAGGCTTCTCCTGAAGAGAAAGATTAATTGAAAAGATTTCTTTACCCTCAAAGAGTGAATGTGTGGTTACTGAGGTGGAGTTAAATACTAATTTGAGTTGAGAACTAGATGAGAGCGTTGACTACTAGATAGACCAAACCTTATAAATATTAATCATATTCATCTTGTTTTATGAAATAATACTACTTTTAAATTTACATTACCATTGAGAAGCTTAATTGAATCTTTTATTTTTATTAAGGTGACAAAATCACTTGAGTTAAGATAATTACTTTTCATTATACTTAGTAGTTATATGCTTATACTTTAGATTTAGATTCTCTTGTATTAATATAATCTATTTTGAGGATAAATTTATTTTGGTGTTTGACGAAAATTATCACATTCATATCTCAGAAGTTTATATTGTGTTATTATCTTTTATGCTTGAATATTCTTATTAGCCTTAATAACTCATTCAATGTCGTTAATTTGTTGTGTTATTGCATCTATAGAATCAACTGAAAAAAAAAAAAGTTTAGGTAGTTCAAATTGAAAGTTACATTATTCATTTTGTGCTTACTCACAATTTAATATCTTGTATCTTATATTGTTTGTTGTCTAAATATGTGCACATATTAATAATGTGTTTATATTGCAAATTTTGTTAGTGTATTCTTAGTTTCCCCATATTACTTCATTTATTATATGTATTGCTTCGATTGTGAATTAGTATTTGTTATTATAACTTCAATACATTGTGTTTGATTGTATGATGATTTGAATTGAAAAGAATTTCATAAATAAATCCTAAGGCAGAAAAAAAAAAGTATACACCCAATTCATGTTCCTTTTAATTCAATGAACATTTATGTATGCTATCAATTAACGCATCAATGCTTGTATAAGTGATCATCTATATCAAAGAATATGAACATTTCTCTTCCTCACCCATGGCTTTGCATTTATCTATAAAAAATTGTGCTTCAATCCGCCAAAAACTCAGCCAATGTTGCTGTATTGTTTTGCTTCATTGCAGATCAAAACTTGTGCATTGTCTTGTTTTCTTCTTTATGTTTGGAAGTGTAAGTGAGATTGTTGGAACATGAACGCACAGCTGAGCCAATTGTGGAGAAAGCCTCACACGAGGACTGGGTCGAGGAGAAGGGATTGGTGTTTTAGACCAAGTTGGGGTGGTTGGTGAAAGATTGACCTGCTCAAGTGCCTTGCATTGCAGATCAGAAGGATATTCTCTCAGGCAACCAATGCGAGGACCAGTTCCAGTACTCCATTTCCAAGTAAGGTGCTCAACTGATTCAAGAAAAGGTTGTTCTCCTATATTTATCTGGGCATCAAATTCAGTCTTTGAAGATTCCTTTTCAATCTCTTCAGTGTTTTGGGTGTCTCCCAATTCTTTAAGCTCTACCACTGTTAGATCATTCTCTGCTACTTTTGTTTCCGATTTCATCACCACCACCTCCTCGTTTCTAGGCATCTTAAATGACGAGGAATGATCGAGTGAACGACTACATTCATCAATAGAATATCTCTGCATTAATGATACAATAAAGATGGTTATAAGAACATCCAAAGCACAATATTAGAATGGAGTATTGAGTTTGAGCTCTTTTTTAACATCCATGTCAATGATGTTCTTTTCACATGTTGAAAGAAATATAATCATCATTTACTTATTTCATAATTCGCAAGTTGTTAAGACAATCTATAAATTCATGAAGTCATAAATATAGCCTTGTTTATATAATTTTCCATCAACATTATGAACTCTCATTTTTCATATATTTATATTGAGTATTGTCTAGTTGTCAAACATATTCTTTGCTAATCTTTTTCAACTTCTATCTGTATTAGCTTAGATTTACCCTTCTTAATCCGACTACAAATTTTTTTTACAACTTCGTTGGTGAATTTTCTACTCTTTTTTATACATATATAAACTTCAAATCACCCTAATCTACTTATAATTACTTGACCTTTAATTAATATCAATCCAGTCATTATGAGACAAAGAGGAAATGTACATAATGTTGATTTTGTAAGAATAATTTTCAGATAAATTAAAACTGTGCTAGAAAAAATTAAACAAGACAAAAATCAGAACCACATGAGGCCAAAAGCTTTTGTAACAATTATTTTAGCTGAAAAGGAAGACGCAAAAACCTTAACATTGGTGAGATCTACATTGTTCTCTGCTAAAAACTTGATGAACTCGTCAAAATTTTCTTCTGTTGGGAGGTAATGTCCGCTATATGGCCAAATAGCCTGTAAACATGCGAAACTGTTAGCATATGAATTCTCATTCTAAAAATGGCTAGAAACCATTATTTGTTCTTTTATAGATATACCATAAGAAACCCATCCTTGACAAGCAGCCTTCCAGCAGCTGTTGTAGCTCCCCCAGCTAAGAAACTCGAATGCTGAAATCTGCCCTTTTTCTTCTGCTAAAAAGTATCAGTAGAAATTTCATGTGTTTCTTCATTGAAATAATTCATATTGCATAAGACAGTGATGGAGGGTGGTGACAACAGCCGATTACTTTGGCGACCAATAGCCGGCGAAGGCTGAGGTGTTCGCGGTGATTTTCATTTAAAATGAATGAAACATCTAAGAGTTGTTTTGAGTTTTCTTTTTTTTGGGGAATGGGGGTATCTACCCGCTGCCACTTTAAAGGGAGCACTTGGTGGCGTAACTAATCCCTCAGTGGAACCTAACAATGCCAACCACCGGCGTCGGGTCCACAATTGCTTTTCCCCACTGAAGAGGCGAGGCCATAGTAGAGGATATTCGAACCCGGAATGACGGATTGCCAACCGTGCTCGCCCGCCAACCTTCCTAAGCCTCGGTGGGTTGTTTTGAGAATTTTCAAAAACAACTTGCTTTATTTTCAAAAATAAAAATAAAAACATCTAAAACAAAATGTGATGCGAAACATTTTAATAAATGATCAGTTTTTGAAATATAATTTCTAACTTCAATCAACAAAAATAGCCCTTCAAACTGCCCTGAATGTATGGATATACCTTTCCAACATATAAAGCCCTACATGTGCTCAGAACAAATATCCATTTTTCATCATCATCAGTCGTATGGACAAACAACTCTGTAAGCTTATAAACAAGTTTCCCATCCTTGATAATAACTTGATATGCCTCCCTCTCTTTCTGCGACCAACTAAAAAAATTTCAATCACAAAGCAAAACTTAATGCTTTATTTTGACAATAGATTTAAAAGAAAGAAAGAATATCAGTAAATTTCAGAAGCATACCGGCCCAAGATATTTTATGCACTGCTGATGAAGAAGGCTTCTCGGGCATTTTTCAAGATTAACTTCTTTGCCATCTCCAACATCCAACCTTCATTATCACAGAAACAGTTATCTGAATGTGTTGGAAACTCACAATTGTACAAAGTTGGGAGGCAAACTTACCAGTAAAAAAATGGCTGTGAGCTCTCACTTTCAAACCAGACATCATAGTAGAACTGCAAATTATGCCCATATCGATGTCGTGGATCAATCTGCAGATCAACATAAAAGTAATTTAAGTTTGGAGCAGTTATCATGAGATTATATTACCTAACAGATTACATATCTATTTAAAAATGACTTAACCTCCTTTTCCATTTCACCACTTACACAGGAATTGACTCCCGGTTATAAGCATCCAAAACTTAGGGGATGTTTGGTAGCAGGATTTAGGCCGGATTAGAGGCGGATTTGAGCGAAATCCAGCCAAACGGCCTAAAATGTAAAACCAAATCTCACGGCAAATGAAAGCCGTCGTAGACTGAAAATTCCACCTTTTCGTGCTAAAATCTTGGATTTCCAAAACCCTAGTTTTTTTTCGGATTTACGAAATCCGTTGGCTCGAGAGGAAAAGTCCACTTGTTAAATCCGTTCTATAGCTAAACAGTTATACATGATTTAATAAGATTTATCATGAATGTTACCAAACAGTTTCCAAGATCTAAGCCCCTCAGGATTTCCGAAATCTGAATTTAGCGGATTTATGAAATCTCACTTAAATTAAATCCTGGGTGCTACCAAACAGCCCCTTAATATGATTATCTACGAGGATTTGATTTAAATTGTTGTTATAAATTTAAAGGACATTAGAACAAAACGGTTGATTGCATTGGTCTGTGTCTGTAATCCAATGCAACATAAGAGATTTCGCATCAGAAAATATATGAAGTAGAACTTACAGCTTCAAGCCAGTGTTGCAGTGCCAGTTTTTGAGCTTTATCACTTTTTGATAAACCCTTACCAACCTGCAAAACTAAAAGCATGAACTATTCAAACGATTCAAATCAAATCTAGCATGTAAAATAATGCAGAATAATACAGTTCATCTTATTGCAATGATTTTGTTAAAGCCATCACCTTTGCAGCCCTTGTCAGAGCCCTCGCCCACCGAGAACCTGCTGTTTCGGTTTTGTTACCGTTGAAAAATGATATCGAACTGCGCTTTAGAGATTCAAAATCCAAAGCCTTCCACCTGGGGAATTTAACAAGTTAATTCTTAAGAGAATGATTAAAGCATTATATGAAGACAATTCTTAATCTTGCCGTAATTTACAACACCAAAGATGAACTTAAAAAAAATTACCAAAGTTCCTCAACAACAACTGCACAATCTGCAAGATTTCTTCTTGTCCGATAACTCTTATACATTTTCTGCAGCTTAACAGCAGCGGCATGCATCTCACATATATGATGAGGAGAAACTAACTCACGAAAGCACATATCCTGACACAGTTTAGAAGCAGAATCATCCTTGAGAGTGCCAGCGCAGGTAGAATCTAAATAATGATCATCCATATCTTGGCTATTTGATGAGGTTCTAGCAGTGAGATCATTATTTTGTGGCACCAAATTATTGATTTTTGAGAACAATTCAATAACATCCTTTCTGTTGCCAACTGAAGGCAGCTTAATCCCGAGGTTGCCTTTTTTGAATTTAGCTGATCTCACTGTCATTTTGGTTACTTCTGAATTTAAATGATTCAGCTACAATCAAATCCCATGGATGAAAATGGTTATTCTTGAACTGTGATCTACTGGCTTTTCCCTGCAAAAGAAAATCATAATATTCATTCTCTTCTACTCTAATAGTTTAGAGAGACATGTTGTAAAATAGTATTATAATAACAAATAAAACAAACATTTAGGTAATAAAAATAGCTAATGGACATAATTTAATTGTGTTTTTTAATAAAAAATCAGATGAACATAGATAACAACGAAAAAGAAAGAATAAAGTTTATACCAATAGGTGGATTCCCAGGGAATATGCTATTCATAAACGCAGATGATGCCGTACAGGATAGGAGAAACGGCGACGGAAAGAAATGCAAACTGCAAGAACTCGCAGCTCACATATAACTCAAGAACGTGCTTCTTGGGAGGGTATCACCACCTGAATAATCAGGATACATAACTTAGAAAACATAACTAAATCTCAAATTTTATTCTTCTCTTCTTTCTATTACAAGCATTAGCTACATATTTATAGACAAAAGTAGCAACATAATTGGCTACACCCAACATTAAAGAGCACTACACTTATACAACCATACAAACTACCATATGAAATTACTCTAGCCTGAAGTTAATAAGATTAAGCAGCTTAGCTCCGGCGTCAACAAATCTAGCATCTAATGGAAGCAATTTTCAACTATTTTTAATGTCAAACTGGAACCCAAATACCTTATAAACCTTGAGGTGCCCTTCACATTTCAATGCTCATCACCATAAAGAGAGAAGAGAAACAGGATGCCCTATCGCTTATTATTTTCTTCCATGCCAAGCAAACATAGCCAGGAACCTCTACCAAATGGTCCAAACAACCCTACTTTTTAAAGTTTCTTCAGATTTGATTATTTCCAAAGATGACATTTTCAAGGTATATCCAACTCTATTTCAATCGCTGGCATAAAAAATATAATAATAATAACGTAAGGGCCATAAAAGAAGAACACAATTGAATCGGTCAACATGAAAGTTTGACCTAAAATTGCCTTAAAAAGGCCTAAAGCAAATCTCAGAAGCCATTTATCCATTTGGGGAGAGAAATGAGTTACGAGCTTGAGACCAGAAGAAGCATCTTCCAAAAACACTAAACAAAACCCAATAGCAAAAAAAGAAAGACAGATAGAAGAGGCATTTACGTGAAGAAGAAGAAGAAGAAGAAGAAGAAGCGATTTCCATTGAAAGGAGCCTCTTTTGCTGCATACGTGCTGAAATATGCTACGACCAAAAAAGCATGGGGGTTTGAAAGAGGAGAAAGCTCAGAGGCAATGTAGACGGCTGAAGAATAGACTCAAACGCCCTGAGCCGCCGGAGCAGCCCACCTTCCCTGTATAACTACCATGAAACCATGGTGGACATTTGGCCAATATAAATAAAAAAAAAAGCTGAGTAGAAAGAAGTATTTTTGGGTTTTCAATCACGGAACCAAGAAGCCAAAGCGCTTGAAGGCCATCGAGCTCTTTTAAAAAGTAGTATTCATTAGTGTCACCAAACACCAATATTTGTAAAATTGTGTTTAAAAAACTTTAGAGGAGCTATCAAGATTTGGTTTTCTGGTGGAGAAAGTTTCAATCTTTCGCTGAAAATGACATTAAAATTTCAAGATTTTTTATGAATTAATGTCTGAGAACAAATTCTTTTTTCTTTTTTCATTGGAGCAACTGCTACTTTCATATTGTGGGATATACATATTAAAATTCTTATGCAAACCAGAAGAAGCATCTTCCAAGCACATTAAACAAAACCCAACAGTAAGAAAAGAGGCATTGAGATAAAGAAGATTAGAAACAAAAAGAAGAAGAAGAAGAAGTGATTTCCATTGAATGGGGCTTCTTTTGCGGCATACCTGCTGAAATCTGCTACAAAAACACAAATCAAAAGCGGTTGAAAGCGAAGAGAGCTCATAGACAATAGACGGCTGAAGAATAAGACTCAACACCCAGCGCCACCCGAGCAGCCCACCTTCCCTGTAAAACTACAATGAAACCAAGGTGGACATTCGCCTGTTCAAAAAAGAAAAGGCCAGAGAGGAAATAAGTCTTTTTGGGTTTTCAACCACGGGAGCAAGAAGCCAAAGCCCTTGAAGGCCATCCAGCTCTTTTGAAAAGTAGTATTCAATGGTGTCACCAAACACTAATGTTTGTAAAATTGTGCTTAAAAAACCTTACAGGAGCTATCAAGATTTGGTTTTCTGGTGGAGAAAGTTTCAATCTTTCGCTGAAAATAGCATAAAAATTCAATATTTTTGTATCAATTTCTGAGTATGTGATTTTTTTTTTTTGGAGTAAATGATTTTTTTCCGGATGTGGAATATATATATATGGGAAATATTAATTTTATTTCATAAAAAAACAGTACATAGTCCTTTAAAGGATCACTAACTCTCTAAGTACTCAAAGAGCTAGAAACAAAATTAAAATAAAACCTAATGAGTTAAAAATCCCAAACTAATTTTAAGAAATAAAATAAATGGCAGGTAAGGAGCCATAACCCAAAAACTTCGTTAGGAGCAGCAAAAAATCCATAGCATGAACCACCACATCCTGCAAACATTCAAGACAAAAATAGCAACGAAAAGATCATTGAATTAGATTAAACGCATACATATGAGAAGACCCCCAGAATAAGCATAACAGTGCAAATGAGGTAGAAGAAATCCTAAATAAGAAATAACAAAACACCTAACCAACAATATGATAATATGAAATAACAAGAAAATTTATCACGAACACTAACTGAAGGGCTATCAACAACCCAACCACAATACACGAGAAGCTCAGGAACTAGTTGATCAGGGAAAAGCCAAAGAATTGAATTTCAGATAGCAAACCAAACAAAATAATCTAAAACAATAGCAGTGAAAATAGCAACAAAGATACTAGCACATGAGCACCAACATGACGAGAAATTTAGATAGTGAAACATACAAAAGATTCATAGAATCAGAGGTGGAAACAACAGGTGATGAACCATTACATAAGCACCAGCAATTCTTAGGAGTCAAAACTTTAGCATTAAAACGTTGCAAGTTTTTTTTTAAGGTACTTATTACCCTAATAAAACTCATTTTAACACCATTATGCTTACTGTTATTGGTCTCATTTCATAAAAGCTAGAAAACTTTCAAAGAAATAACAATAATAATATGATCTTTAACTTTATTATAAAACCAACAAGGTAAAGAGAAAAAAAATATATTATTATTAAACCTTCAACTCAGGACCATTCTCCAATTCAAACCAAAGCCTAGAAGCAATCATGCCACTCAAAAATACATGAAGTCTCAATATGATATAAACATTGATGTTTAGAACTCAAGCAAGAACCTCTCGTTTAACTTGATATCCATAGGAATATAACCTTTCAAAATTCTCCAAGTGAAAATAAAAATTTTCGAAGGAGTAGAGGAATTTTAAAATTTACTAAATATAGGCTACAATATTCCCTCTTAGACCTAAAGTAATTCCAAACTTTGTTTAAATCAAATTCACCATCTTCAGCGAATTTAAAAATAGCTTGCTCAAACTTGACTTGTTAACATGCTCTTGAGTCAAGATTATTGAGTATCGAGCTTGAGTTCGAGAAAAAATTGAGCTCATTAGATTATTGAGCTTAAGTTTGATCCAGGAGAGTGTTAGTTTGACTATAGTTTTCTATGATAATTTTAAAGTAAGAGAAAGCATATCACACTACATTCTAATGAATAAGAAATTATTTTCAGTTGTGGAAGAATTTGATTTTAATCTTGTTCTTAAGTCAATATCACCTTATTTTTTAAAATATTTAAGAACAACATCTCACAGTGATGTCATGTTAGTATACGTAACAGATTAAAAAAATCTATGTAATGCATTGAAAAGTATAAACGTAATTAGTTTTACCATAGACTTATGGAAGTCCAACAATCAATAAATTTCTTATACAGTTGTTACTGGACATTATGCCGACACTAATGGAAAGTTGCAAAAGTATGTGCTATGTTTCTTTTTTGTCTCCTCCTCACACAACTTTAGTGATTGTTGACACTTTTTAAAAGTTATTAAATGAGTGAGGTTTGTAGAATAAAGTGTTAATAGTGTCATTTGATAATGCTTCTAATATAACTGGGCCATTAAATTACTAATGGATAACTTTCATCTACAATATATATATATATATATATTGAAGAAAATATTACATGTTCGTTTTGTTGTGCCCATATCTTAAATTTGATAGTTAAAGATGAGATTAAAATTGTAGAATTTATGGAAGAAAAAAATCCATGACTAATTTAGTTTTTTAAATGCATCCAAAGGTAGACTACTTCAATTTGTTGATGTTATTTAATAGTTAAAATTACCAACTAGAAAGTGAGTTATGGATGGTCCAATAAGGTGGAATTCAACCTACAATATACTTACTTTGGCTCTTAACTTAAGGGAGAAATTCTTTTTGTATTGTGAGAGGGAGATATCTTATCAGAATTGTCCTACATAAGAGGAATATAATCATATAGAGAAGGTTTGTGACATCATTGATTTTTTAATGAAGTAACAAACGTCATTTGAGGTACCGAATATCCTACTTCAAATTTATTTTTGTCCCAAATATGCACCATTAAGAAGATTCTAGACAATGGCTTAATTAGTATCTCTTAATAAATTGTTTTGAGACATGACTAAAAAATGAAAGAAAAAATTAACAAATATTGGGGCAAATGTTGCAATCCAGGATCCCGGCTCATGATTTTGATGATAACAAACTTTATTGGCTTCTAACTATATTTATCTTGTTAGTATTTATGGATATTATTTTTCTATGCACACTAACATTTCAGGTAATTAGCCGCACACCATACAAAAAGATCGACTCAAGACTTGGTAGACTAGAAGTGTTGTCATCTCATAAGAGTCTATAATTTAATTTATTTTTTTATGTTTCTTTACTTAAAAGTCATGTAAAAGGTGTATTACAGCTTAGTGAACGTGCACACACAAATATTAATTTTTTTATCAAATCTTACTTTACGATCTCCATTGTACTATATGATATAAGTTAAATCAGGTTAAATTATATCATTAAGTTATATTTCCTTATTTTGAATTAATCATACTATACGATCATTATAAATCAAGAAACTTGCTTCCAATCATAAATTAAATAATATTTTGAAATTTTAAATTTGTACTAATCATACTTTACAATCTCTATCATACTATATGATGAATTTAATTCCTTTCTAATATAATCCTCTGTTTAAGAATTCAAATCAAGATTTACTGATATTGAAAATTGTACTTTACGATGCACTTGTTCATACAGTACGAAATAATTCAATACAAGGATGATAATTAATCATTACCGATCGTCCTGGATGAAACGATGATCCGATTAAACTAATCATAATATACAATACTTAAATCGTACTGTTATGTTTATTTTAACAAATTGTAATGTATGATTTCATATCTTACTATATAATCAGATTCTGCAGAATTGAAAATTTAGTGTTTTTTTAAGTCTTATTTAAATATATATTTTAAAGCCAAAGGGAAGAATCTTGGTTGTTAAAGAAACTTTTGAGAAAACTCTATTTATTTGGAAAAGGAGAAGGTGGGATTGAGTGTGTTGGAGGAGTGTAAGGGGTTTCCATACGATTGCTCCAAGCTGGTTTGCACCTTGTTTCCTCCAAGGAGTTGGTGAGTTTTTGGGTTGCTATAGGGCTAGAAGCTTTAAGGTTAAAGGTCAAGACTCTGTGCCTTCATTAGGAGGGTGAAAAAGGATGCCAAGATACACTGTTGTCACCAAGAGGGTGTCAAAGCTTTGAGGTTTTATACTTTTACCAGGAGGGTAAAAAATGATTTCAATTCTCCGCCGCATATAGTTTGATGAAAGTGATTTGTAAGGGCTTTCAAAAAAAGGGCTTTTCATCCTTATTGAAATACATATAGAGCAATACATATAGAAGAGGACTCCAGGGAGTGGACGTAGGTCAAGTTTTGTTTAAACCAATATAAAATTTTTGGCGTGCTCATTCTTTTACTTATATTTTTATTTCTCATATTTTATTTCATGCATATTATTCTTGTGAAATATGTGATGAGAAATTTTGTGATATATATGGATGAGTTTATGAGGGCAAGAATTAGTAAAAACAAAATTTGAAAATTAAAATTAACAAAAATATTTCTTTTTGCCCAAACAAAAATATAATTTTATTTTGATCTCTGATCTTTGCTTCCACTCGTATTTTTATTTGATATCGTTTGTAGAGAGGAATCTTTAAGGCGCAAACTTTTTAAAATAACAATTCCCTTTGGTGTGCGTAGGGACAATTCAAAGAGGTTTAATCCCTTCCATTAAACCATCAATTGGTATCAGGGAGATCTTAGGATTGTGATTTTAAAAATCCATAAGAAAAGATCAAATGGCACATTTTAGAAATCAAAATATTGCGGAGGGTT